GAGAAACTGTTCCTGAAAATGAAGAAGACTGAGTAACTGGGCTGGAAGAGAAGAAAGACACTAAGCTATATCCCTATATGGAGGCTAGACCTGTCTCTTCAAGCCTTGACATGGGAGTCAGACTGACCCTGCCCCTCACTAGGGGAAGGGACTGACCATAGAGAGCCTGGATGCCTGCCACATCATCTGGGTGTAGCTTGAAGTGGGGCTGGTAGCCCTGGTAGACTGGGGCCATGAGGGCCTGGGAATATCGGGAGTGCCCCAGCCCCAGGGCATGGCCCACTTCATGGGCTGCAATGATGCGCAGGTTCACCCCGCGGTAGGTCCCCTCAGTCCAGAACTCGTCTTCATCGAAGTGCACACTGCCCAGCTCTGGGATGTCGGCATGGGCCAGGACTCTCCCTGGACAAAGGCAAAGGTGAATAGGAAAGAGGTCAGAGCCCGCTAGGCCAGAGCACACCCTGCCTATTATAAACTCTAATTAATGCATGCCCTTAAAATTCCCCCAGCTATGTTCACTGTCTCTTAGATGCTTCTTTCTCTCCTTTCAGATTCCCCTGTCATCACCCAGTTCTCTCAAGAATGCCCATCACTGTCCCTTACCTCCCCAGCCACTCCGTGCTCTCTGACCCAGTCCTCTCTGGCCCATACCTCTAAGGTATGCCTTGAACAGGGGAACTTAAGGGAGAAAAAGAAGCATAGGCAGCCAGGGGTGATGGCTCACACCTGTAATCCCAACATTTTCAGAGGTCAATGCAGGATGATTGCTTGAGTACAGGAGTTTTAGACCAGCCTGGGAAACATAGCAAAACCTCATCTCTACAAAAATTAGCCAGGTGTGGTAGTGTTTTCCTGTAGTCTCTACCTGGGAGGCTGAGGTGGGAGGATCACTTGAGCCTGGGAGGTTGAAGCTGCAGTGAGCCATGATTGTGCCACTGTACTCCAGTCTGGGCAACAGAGTGAGACTCTGTCAAGCAAGCAAGAGAGAGGAAAGAAAGAAGGGAGGGAAGGAGGGAGGGAGAGAAGGAAGGAAGGAAGAAAGGGAGGGAGGGAGGGAAGGAGGGAGGGAGGGAGGCACCATGTAGATGACCAACTGCTCCCCTGCTCCCGTTAGAAGGTAATTAGAGTGTATGGTGCAGGTGGGATAAAGGGCAGCCCAAACATCAAGGTTCCAGAGTCACTGGTTCAAGGAGACAGAGGTAATCTTAGAGGTCTATGAGGTGGGAACTGAGAACTGTTGCCTACCAGGCCCATCAAAAGAATTGGAACAGTACAAGCTTTGGCGGCCATGGAAGGAGAGGCGGATGTCAGCCCCACCAGTCTGCACCTCTCAGAAGGTCAAGGGAGCCACATTGCTCCAGTCCTGGAAGGCTTGACGCAGGGCTGCCCAGGCTGTGTGGGATGGAAGGGTGGAGGGCAGGTTCAAGATGCGGAAAGTCAAGTGCTTCTTTCTCCAGCGGCCTAGTTAATGACCAGAAAACAGATTAGAAATACAGATCCTTCTGCCAACCCCAGAGAGCTCCTCTGGGTTTAGGCATTCAACCCCCAAGACAGGTGATAACCAGGTAATCACCAGGTATTCAACACTGAGCTGGTCCAGACTGTCCTGATGCCACCCACAGTCCAGAATCACAGCACCCCTCCTCTCCCTCCCTTTTCCAGGCTCCGTTCTCACCCAGCAACAGGTATTTAAGGGTCTTCTGGTTGAAGGGATCCTCTAGGCCACAACGAGGCTGCTTCATGCGGGCCCTTGTGGCATCATCCAGCTGACCTGAGACTGGAAGTTCAGATGCTTCCTGAAAAGCTCTGAAGGAGGGAGAGGGATGGGTCTACCAGGACAGGAAAATCTGAAATGACCGGGAGCTGGAGATGATTGCTCTTTGACTTCCTGCTGCCCAAGGTCATGGCCAAGAATAGCACAGAATCCCTGAAGCTGACAGGGTTACTCCAGCCTCCAGTCCTCACAATTTGGACTTTCTACAGAAATGGAGATACTCCAGCTTCATCTCCCCATTTCAGGCTCTTTCATTCGAGTAAGCTGACCCTCAGGTGTAGCCTTCCTCCTCTACTGTAATTTCTTTCTTTCTTTCTTTCTCTTTCTTTCTTTCTTTCTTTCTTTCTTTCTTTCTTTCTTTCTTTCTCTCTGTCTCTCTCTCTCTTTCTTTCTTTCTCTCTCTCTCTGTCTCTCTCTTTCTTTCTTTCTTTCTTTCTCTCTCCCTTCCTTTCTTTCTCTTTCTTTCTTTTTCTTCTCTCTTTCTCTCTCTTTCTTCCTTTCTTTTTTGGTAGAGATGGGGTCTCACTGTGTTGCCCAGGTTGCTCTCAAACTTCTGGGCTCAAGCAATTCCCCTGCCTGGATCTCCCAAAGTGCTGGGATTACAGGCGTGAGCCACCGTGCCCGGCCCCTCTACTGCAATTTCTAACCTTCTCCTACTCTGTGGAGGTGTCCGGCTCCCCTGCTCTGGAGAGCTTCCCACTAGTGCTCCCACCTGACAGCCTGTCCTCTTTCAACCTCCTCCCCTCCTGGCTGGATACCCCTCCCAGCCCAGCTTGCTCTAGAGCAATTTCATCCATCTACTGACTGTCATAGGGCCTATGGGCTTTTCAAGGGACCTGAACATATCTGAGAGCAGAAAGAAAAACAATCCATTATATCAACATATAAAATTATAAAACAGAAATAAGTACTGAATTAAAGGCCCACAAAAGGTAACAGCATGTCAACAACGCAACTCAGTTTTACATATCATTATACTTTATGTGGGCTATAACTAAGTATTAGTATTTGAGATATGATGTGGGTAGAGACTCCAAAGGAGTGCTTAGGGCCTAGGGAGATCCAATGACTGTATTCCTGGTCTGTGAATCCCCATCTCACCCCATGCCCCACCACCATAATAATGATCGCCACCCATCTCTAGATCCCTGCCATGGTTTAGGGTCAGGAGGAGGTGGGCCTAGGGAGAGGAAGGTATGAGAAGGAAGAAGACCTTTAGACCTTAGCCCTAAAGGCATGCACCTCATAGCTTCTCACCTCAGAGCCTCGGTGATATCTTCTGGCTTGAAGTTATTAGATCCTTCTAGAGGCTTCTGTAGGTACCCATATTGCGACAGGTACTCCTGTGATGGGAGTGGAGGTAAGCAGGTTAAAAGGGGGTTAGTCTCAGAGTAAAGTTTCTAAGTGACCTAACAGGTCCCTCAGGAGAGAAGGGGCCAGATATGGAAGCACTAATGCAGAAGCACCTTAGAGAAGGGGCTCAGGTGGAACAAGGGGAGGCAGCGGGAGATGGGCAGGGTAGACCATGGGGCAGAGGGAGCAAGGGAAAGGCAGGCAGGCTGGGGGTCAGGAGGGAGGCTTGGATGGGCAGTAACCCCTGTCCCTCCCCTGGCCCAGGTCTCTTTCTTGGGGGACTTACCACAGCCATCTCCTCTGCAAGCCCCAGGACCCGACCTGAGACTGTCATGGGGAGTAGGAAGCCCAGCCACAGCTGCTGCCAGTTCATGGTCCCACCAGACAAGAGCTCCAGAGGCTGTCTGTGCCCTCTGACCTGAGATTTCTGGGAGCCTGGGGGAAGCAATGCTAGGCAGAGGGACTCTTTCCTCCAGTTCTTTTTACTCTCCAGCCTCTGGTCCTCTTTATAACAGCTGAGGGGAATTGTGGGGAGAGGCAGAGGGAGGTGACTCAGCCAAGAGATATGTTGCAATTCACCATTAACACTTGCCCTACCAGAGAGTGGAAGCCAAAGAGAGTTCCCAATCCCTTCCCTCAGAGTCCTCTGCTGGAGATGGAAAAACTTTTCATACTGCCCTAGGGTGAGCATCCGGGCAGGACGAGAACCAGAATCTCTGGAGAGTCTAGAGATAGGGACCATGGACATCCCCTGGAGTTAGACATCGCTGTGCCCCAGGGACCCTGGGCCAGCAAATCACTCCGCCCCTACCTTTGAGTTTCCCTAGGATAAGCTGAGAGGTAGGAAACAGCTGAGGTAGCTTGGGTTTCAGGTGAAGGAGTCAAGGGTGAAGTCCTCCGTTTCTTTGTACCCAAGACCAAGCTGGGAATATAAATGCTCCTGAAACCCACTTATGTCTGCTTTAATAAAAAGCCATTATTTCAAGAATCTGATGAGCTTGGAATATGTGGGTGTAGGTGGGGCTTAACAAGGGCACAAATAAGTAAAGGGCGCAGAGCCTACCCTCAGGGAGCTTACAGATCCGGTGAGGCAGATCGAAACACCTGGGAAGAGGGGAGCCAGCATTCCGGGCCAGCGGTGACTCACCCTAAGGGGCTTGGGGCTGGGGGGAGGTTTGCTGAGAAGGCAGGCTTTGAGATGGGCTTTGAAGGCCAGCTAAGAATTGATGGGAGAAGGCCAGGCATGGTGGCTCACTCTTGTAATCCTAGCACTTTGAAAGGCCAAGGCAGGGGGATCACTTGAGATCAAGTTCGAGACCAGCCTGACCAACATGGTGAAACCTTGTTTCTACTGAAAATACAAAAATTAGCCGGGTATGGTGGCGGGTGCCTGTAATCCAAGCTACTCTTGAGGCTGAGGCGGGAGAATCGCTTGAACCCAGGAGGCGGAGGTTGCAGTGAGTTGAAATCGCACCATTGCGCTCCAGCCTGGGCAACAGAGCAAAAACTCCATCTCAAAAAAAAAAAAAAAAAAGAATTGATAGGGTAAAAGGATACTGAGAGACAGACAGTGCAGGTCTTGAGTAAAAGTGCAGAGCTGAGAGCCTGCTGTACTCAGTAAGTCAGAAGGGTCAGGACTGCTTCATTCACCACTGAATCCCGAGTGCCTGTCCCAGGCCATCTCCATGCTTTCGAGGCCCTACTTAATAAATCACTGTCAAAGAATGACAGGGTGGGAAAGTGGTTGGGAGACAGAATTTGGAGGGGGCCTTAAATGCTATGCAAGGAAAAGAAGAAAAACTTACACTTTAAAATACCAGCTGGGCGCGATGGCTCACACCTGTAATCCCAGCACTTTTGGGGGCTGAGGTGGGCAGATCACGAGGTCAGGAGTTTCAGACCAGCCCGGCCAACATAGCAAAATCTTGTCTCTACTAAAATACCAAAAATTAGCCGGGTGTGATGGCATGCGCCTGTAATCCCAGTTACTGTGGAGGCTGAGGCAGAAGAATTGCTTAAACCCAGGGGGTGGAGGTTGCAGTGAGCCAAGATCGTACCACTGCACTCCAGCCCAGGCAACAGAGCAAGACTCTGTCTTGGAAAAAAATAAAATTAAATTAAAATAAATAAAAATATGGCCGGGCGCAGTGGGTCATGCTTGTAATCCCGGCACTTTGGAAGGCCAAGGTAGGCAGATCACAAGGTCAGGAGTTCGAGACCATCCTGGTCAACATGGTGAAACCCTGTCTCTACTAAAATAAAAAAATTAGCCCAGTGTGGTGGCATGCACCTATAGTCCCAGCTACTTGGGAGGCTGAGGCAGGAGAATTGGTTAAACTGGGGAGGCGGAGATTGCAGTGAGCTGAGATCATGCCACTGGACTCCAGCCTGGTGACAGAGTGAGACTCCGTCTCAAAATTAATTAATTAATTAGTTAATTAAAATAAAAATACCTGGCCGGGCGCGATGGCTCAAGCCTGTAATCCCAGCACTTTGGGAGGCCGAGACGGGCGGATCACGAGGCGGGATAACCGAAGGTCAGAGGCTCGGGACCATCCTGGCTAACCAGTGACAACCGTCTCTACTAAATACAAATCTAGCCGGCGGGTGGGGCGGGGCGGTAGTCCAGGCTACTCTGGGAGGTGAGCAGGAGAATGGCGGGCCCGGCAGGCGGAGCTTGCAGTGAGCCGGATCGTGGCTGTGGACCAACGCGACGACTCCGTATCAAAAAAAACAAAACACAAAAAAAATATAAATAAATACCTACTATTGGTGGATGGTGGCACCAACTCAAATCACCACTACCCTAACAGAATTATGCACATACCACCTGTTCCCAACAACCTATGGGGAAAATAAAATTAAAAGTAATAAGGGCCGGGCCATGGGTGGATCACTTGTATCCGCATTTTGGAGGCTGAGGTGGAGTGCGATCCCCTGAGTCAAGAGTTTGAGACCGGCCTGGGCTCGAAAATGGTGATAACCGTCCTCTTACTGAAAAAAAAAGACCAAAGTAGCCAGGCGTGGTGGCACGCGCTGTATTCCCAGCTACTTGGGAGGCCTGAGCGGAGATTGCTTGAACCTGGGGCACAGAGGTGCAAGTGAGCCCGGTTTGCATCATGCACTCATTGGGCGACAGAGCCAGACTCTTCCAAAAAATAGTAAAAAAAAAAAACAAGTACTTTTATACATGCCTTTATAAATTTAACCTCCTTTAGTCCAAGCCTCTGTGGGGGAGGAAATTTATCTGCCTTTTTTGGTAAGGAGGAAATAGTCTCAGAGGGAATTTGACAAGACAGGACCAACTGGCCCTGCCTTATTCCATCCCTTGCTGACTCCTATAACTCATGCTCTTTCCATACACCCACAATGCACTTAGAGCTTTTGGTTTTTTAAAGTAACTAGGAGCCCCCTTGAAGGATCCACCTTCGGTTACACATCACCTTTTGGCATATTGTTCTAAGCCACAACGTAGTAGCTAGGAGGGGGGGAAAGGTCAGCCTGAACTTTGTTTCTCGAGGGCTGGAGGCAGGGAACACCTCTACCCCAAGGATCAGGTGGGATGCTCCTGATTCCCCTGCTGCCTGTGATGTGGTCCTCGAAGCCTCCCCACCCATACTGTACAATTGGGTGACTAGTTCTCAATTTGACCAGTGAAGGCAGGAGACAGAAACTCTGAGAGATGAGTGCCCGGCCTCACCAAGGGCTGAATGCACCAGGAATGATGGCGTTTGGGGACAAGTCCTGCTTAGTCCCTGCCCGGGCTCTTTCTCTCTCTTTCTCCTCGTTCTACCCATTCCTGTTTTTCTCCTTTTGAGAACGAACATGGCCCAATTGAAATTATTACGTTTTTTATTTTTTTTTTTTTTTTTGAGACGGAGTCTCGCTCTGTCGCCCAGGGCCTGGGTGCGTGGCCCGGTATCAGCTCCTGCAGCCCCTCCTGGGTCTACGCCCTTCTCCTGCCTCAGCCTTCCCGAGTAGCTTGGGGATACAGGCGCTGCCAACTCGCCCGGCTAGTTTTTTTTGTCTTTTTTTGGAGACGACGGGTTTCACCGTGTTAGCCCAGGGTATGGCTCGATCTCCTGACTCGTGATCCGCCGTCCTCGGCGCTCCAAAAGTGCTGGGATTACAGGCTTGAGCCCGGCCCGGCCTTATTACGATTTTTAACGTTGTTTTGTGTTTTTTCCCGCTGAATAAGTTATTCCCATCATTCATTATATATTTGTATTGAAATAAAAACAAGAAGAACATGAAAACCACTAAGGTAAATTTACCCAAAAGAGGACACTAGTACATTTTTGGATGCTTTCCTTTGAACACTGTTGAAGGACCTGAGTTTTCCAGCTCCGCCGCCTGGCCTCAGCACTGGACTGGGGTTGGGATGGAAGGGGAAGCTTTAGAGCCAGGAGGTATGGAGGAGACGTGAGGGGAAGAGTGGGAAGAAGCACAGACAGGAGATGCAAGGGCAGGAGTCAAGTTAAAACGAATGCTATAGCAAATTACTCCCCTCTTAGAAACTCACGTAAGGAAAAAAAAGAAAAAATTTTTTTTTGGGTCTCCAGGCCTGGAATGCAGTGGCAATAATCTGGGCTCCTGCAACCTTCGCTCTGGGCTCAGCAACCCTCCCCACTTTCAGCCTCCAGCCTAACTGGGGCTAGGCTGCACTCCACCAGCCAGCTAATTTTTTGTATTTTTTGTAGAAAGGGTGGGGGGCCAGGGGGGGGGAGGCAGGTTCCTAATGTTGCTCCGCTTGTCTTGGGCCTCAAGGTGATCCGCCCCACCTGGCCCTCCAAAGTGCTGGTGATTATACCTGTGGAGCCAACTGTGCCCCAGCCAGACAAAAAATCTATATCTATATACTATAAAATCCTATACCACACTAATCATATATCACTATCTAGTGGGTGTTGGAGAGAGAAGATGCGGCGGTTTATCATAACGTGCAGGCTTGGGTACACCTGGGCCCTCAGAGGCCGGGCGTGAACCATTCTCGCAACTTAGGAGCCCAGGGCGGAATAAACTCAAAGCTTTAAAAGCTGCCAAATAGTTTAAACGTTCTTTAACTTTTACAAAACCCTTGACAGTATTACATCTTTTTTACTCCTTTTTCTGAGATGAGTTCTGTGGCCGGCCTGGAGAGTGGCGTGGTGCAATCTCGGCTCAACCTGCAACTC